CGACGGGGAGGGGAGGATAAGAAGAAGGAGCAGGAGGAGGAGGAGGGGGAGGAGGAAGAGGACGACGACGACGACGACGACGGGAGGACGAGGAGGAGGACGACGACGACGACGACGGGGGACGATACCAAGGTGGAGGAGGGGGATAAGAGGAGCAGGAATATCACCTCATGTACGCATCCCAGCACTCTGCCCTGAAGTTGTCGGGCATCTCCCGATCAGGATCCACGATGACATCATCCATGTAGTTCCACCTGGCTGCGCGGCAGGGGCCCCGGGGAGTGGGAGGAGGGGGGAGGAGAGGGCGTGCAGGTGGAAGAGGAGGCCATCTCAGAGGGCCCAGGGCAAGTAGGGCTCGTCGGGCCAGTAGGAGGAGGAGGAGGAGGAGGAGGAGGGCTCGGAGGGCCAGGAGGAGGGGGAAGAGGAGCTCAGGGGGGATGGGGGAGGAGGAGGAGGAGGAGGAGGAGGAGGAGGAGGAGGAGGAGGAGGGAAGCCCCCTAGAGGGCTCGCGGAGTGCAAGACTCGTCGGCTCGCTTCGCGGCAGCCGCGCACGCTTTCGGGGCCCGCTCGACGAGCATCGCGCCCTGCATCGCGGGGCTCACCGGCGTCGCGCCCCTCATGTCCAGCTTCGCGAAGTCCGCCGTACCCCGACGGGGCGTGGGTTTCTCATATGTTCCCTTCCGCCCGCCCCCTCACCTCATCCCTTTCCCTCCTACTCTCGATTGCCCCCCGCCGTGCCCATGCGCCCGCGGAAAGTGGCATGGCCTTCCAGATTGGCCCGGGACAGCGCCGGGACGGGCATGTCGACCTTGCGCCGCTTGGCCTCGGGCTCATCGTCGTCGCTCTTCATCTTTTCGAGCGAGGTTAGCAGATCATTCACCTTGCCGTTCTCAGCTGCGATGGCGGACTCGTCGAGCACCTCGAGCATCTCGTCAGACACCTAGTGGTGCTCCCGCCCCCCTCTCCCTCTCTATGTATATATATGATAACGGAGGAGGGGAGCGCTATACAATATACAGTTATACCGTCTCTCTCTCTCTCTCTCTCTCTCTCCCCTCGCTCTTTATATATATATATATATAAATCCTCCAGCTCCTCCTCCCCCGAACCGCTGCCCCATCAGCTGGGGCTATGGCGTGGGGTCAGGGCTCACCCAAGACTATAGAGGCCGAGGGGTCACCTGGGCACTGCCCACCACCAAGGGCGCCCTGAACGCACCACATAAAAAGGCAGGCGCCCGCAAACGACGGGTGCCCGCGCCAAAAAAAACGGTGGGGCCATACGGCGGGGCGCTTTGGCCATGGTATGAACCTCCTCCACCTCCGTGTATATATATCTCTATCTCTCTCTCCCTCTCTCTCTCTCTCTCTCCCTCTCTCTCTCTCTCTCTCGCTCTCTTGTAACACCCCCGCCTCCTCCTCCCCCGAACCGCCGCCCCCCTAGTGGGGGCCATGCGCTACGGTAAACCTCCCGCCACGCACGCTGCCCCAGCTATGCTCCTAACTCGCACTGCTGGGGCGCCCCATCTATGCTCCTAACTCGCACTGTTGGGGTCAGGCGGGCGGGGCACTTTGGCCATGGTACGGGCCTCCTCCGCCTCCGTGACTCTCTCCCTCTCTCTCTCTCTCTCTCTCCCTCTCTCTCTCTCTCTCTCTCCTCTAGGAGCGCCTCGGGCGCCCTCGGCGGCTGGCTCCCGTCCTCCATGTCATACCACGGCGGCTGGCTCCCGTCCTCCATGTTCTCCCACGGCTGCTCTTCGACGGACTTGGGGCCCTTGGGGCCATGCTCCTCGTCCAGGCTATCTTCGACGGACTTGGGGCCATGCTCCTCGTCCAGGCTATCTTCGACGGGAATGGGGCCCTCGTCCTCGTCCAGGCTATCTTCGACGCGCTGGGGGCCCGTGTACCCGGCCAGGCTATCTTTGAGGGGCTCGGGGTCCTCCTCCTCCTCGTCCGCTTTGACGAGCCACTGGGGGCCCTCGTACCCGGCCTGGCTATCTTCGAGGGGCTGGGGGTCCTCCTCCTCGACCACCTCGGTCGCGCCATCGGGCTCCATCGGGCCCATCTCCCAGGCCACGGAGCGCGCGGCAGTATCCCAGGCCTCCTTTGCAGGGACGTTTACCCACCCATTTTTTCCCGCTCCCCCTCCTCCCTACCTCTTATTTCTCATCTCTACCCCTATCCGTGGGGATTTCGGCATTGTCGAACGCCTCGTCCCAAAGGAGGCCTTGGATGTCTGCCTCGACCACCTCCAGCCTCTCCTTGACTGCAGTCAGGGAGTCGGCCTTGGAGGAGGAGGAGGAGGAGGAGGAGGAGGAGGGGGGGGGAAGGAGGAGGAGGAGGAGGAGGAGGAGGAGGAGGAGGGGGAGGAGGAGGAGGAGGACGACGACGACGACAACGACGACGACGAGCCCACGAGGAGCCTCCTCAGGAGGCCAGAGAACAGGATACCCCATTTGGCGTTGACACTCCACAATATCCATCATGTCTTGTGTTGAGATATCGCCAGGACCAGTCTCCCAGTCCATTTCGTTTCTCCCCTCCTCCCGCGCCCTCACCTCCGCCTCACCTCCGCCCATCTCCTGGTCCCACAGCCCAGGGTCCGACTCCGGGCGGTCGCTGCCGTACACCGACTCCCAGTCCTCGCGGCGCTCTCTTCTCGTCTTTCTCCTGTCCTGCTCGTGCTACTGCACCTCGTCCTCCTCCTTCTCCCTCCTCCTTCCGCCTCCTCCTTCCTCCTCCGCCTCGCCCTCGCCCCTTCGTCCTCCTCCTTCCTCCTCCTCCTTCCTCCTCCTCCTTCCTCCTCCTCCTTCCTCCTCCTCCTCCTTCCTCCCCATATTCCTTCTCTCCCCCTCTTCCAAGTCACCGTTTACACCCTCCGTCCTCGTCGGGCCCGTCGCTTAGCTCGCTCAGCTCCGACGTCCTCGGAGTCGAGGACGCCGCCGTCGAGGAGCTCCCCTCCCTCTTCCTGATGGCCACGTAGGTTTTGAGCTGATACAAGACAGCGTCCCTGGACATCACCGTTTTTCTGACCATCGCCCTGAGCTGCTGCAAGATTATCTTGAGACGGCCGGCCTCCTCCAATGCCTTCTCCTTGGGGGTCGTAAGCAACACTTCTTTCTCTGCCTTCCCTCTGCCTCCCTTCCCCTCCACATCTTCCTTCCCCTCCGCATCTTCCCTCCCTTCCCCTCCCTCCCCTCCACATCTTCCTTCCCTTCCCTTCCCTTCCCTCCGCATTTCCCTGCACTCCCTTGCCCTCCACATCTTCCTTCCCCTCGTCCATATATCCCCCCATCGCCGCATTTGCTCGCCCACTCCTGGCGCTCGCGGGTCGAGACGAAGGGGAAGAGGAGCTTGCCTTTCAAGGCGATGTCGAGGTGCGCTAGCATGCTGGCGAGAGTGTAGATGCTGGGGATTTTCTCTGGGCAGTGCTGCACGATGGGGAGCAGCCACTTGTGATTCTGGATGATGCGATCCTTGCGGCCAGCCTGCAGCGTCCACGAAATCCAATCCACTGGGTACGAAACGCTCAACTGCAAGCCCGCCACCCTTTTGGGTCAGAGGATTCCGCTCAGTTCTACTTGCTGTAGTTGCTAAGCTCCTCATCCTCCGCCTCATCCTCCTGCTCCTCATCTCTTCCCCCCTTCCCCCTCCTCATCGGCATCCTCTCGCCTATCCCTCTTCCTCCTCCGCATTACCCTCCCCCTCCTCATCATCGCCCACTCTCCTCCCCCTCCTCCTCCTCCTCCTCCTCCTCCTCCTCCTCCTCCTCCTCCTCCCTCCTCCCCATCTCCCCCGGGGCGGCGGATCGAGCGCCGCACCGCATAGACGCTCTGCGGCAAGTCGGACAGGATGCCGCGGATCGCGTGGGCGCACCATTCGTTCCCCTCCCCAGCCACCTCCTTGATATTCATATCCATGTCGACGACGACGATCTTGCCGTTGACCACCGTGCGGCTGGCGACCTTCACCTCGCTGTCGCCCTTCACGTGGCTGAATGGCCACATCTTGTCCTCTCTCTATCTCTCTCTCTCTGAAGGGAGGGAGGGAGAGTGGGGGGAGTGGGGAGTTGGAAGAGGATCCCCCAGCTCCGTCGTCGTCGTCGTCCACGTCCTCCACCTTGGTATCGTCGTCGTCGTCGTCCTCGTCGTCGTCGTCGTCCTCCTCCTCCACCTTGGTATCGTCGTCGTCGTCGTCGTCGTCCTCGTCCTCCTCCCCCTCGGTATGTTAGTCGTCGTCGTCATCCTCCTCCTCCTCCTCCACCTTAGTCGTCGTCGTCGTCCTCCTCCTCCTCCACCTTGGTATCGTCGTCGTCGTCGTCCTCGTCCTCCTCCCCCTCGGTCGTCAGTCGTCGTCGTCCTCCTCCTCCGATTTTCATGCCGAGAGTCCTGGGCCGGGCGGGCGGGGGGGTGCAGCTCGTGGAGGAACGGCTGGAACGGCCAGGGAGCGGCCATCAACTGCCCACGGCGGGCGCGCCCGGGGGGCCAGCTTGGGCACGGCGCTTCTGCAGATGGGGGCCATGAGGCGGAGAAGGAGGAGGGCGGAGTGGAGGGGGGGGGGGCGAGGGAAGTGCAAGAGGAGGAGGGAGGAAGAGAAGGTGGAGGAGAAGGATGAGAAAGAAGAGGTGGAGGAGAAGGAGGCGAAGAGGAGGTGGAGGAGGAGCCGCCACCTCAAGGGAGAAGGGGGGATGATGGATGCAAGACCCCCCTTTTCAGAGCCTCGCTGTCCCATCATTCTTCGGCCGTCCCGAGGGGGCGCCCTCGCCTCGGCGCCCGCCGCACTCCTGTCCCCTGCGTACAGTTACTCACTCTTACTACTCTCCTCTCACCCCCGAATCGGAAGGTGTTTGGCCCTCCTTGCCCACTCCCCTCCAGCAGGGGAGAGGCCCCTCACCCTCCCTCCTCCCTCCTCCCTCCTCCCTCAGCCGGTTTGGCTTTGTTTCCATTTGCGGCAGATTCTCGATTTTAGTTTTGATCTCCCTTCTCCCAGTGCTGCAGTGCCATGTCGGACACGGAGTCCTTCGCGGTCGTGCCCTCGGAGTTCGCCGAGGGGCCCGTGGTGCCTTGCCCCTTGGTGCGCCGCAGCAACGGGGCTAACGTGCCCTTCCTCGAGTACAGGCCCGCGACGCCAACCAGTTGTTATGATGATGATGATGATGAGGAGGAGGAGGAGGAGGAGGAGGAGGAGGGAGGAGGAGGGAGGAGGAGGGGGGAGGAGGGAGGAGGAGGGAGGAGGAGGGGGTGGCGTCCTCCCAGGGTTTTCCAGCAGAACTGGTACTGCTGCTGTGCAATGGGTACATCCACCCATATCAAAGGCCGACGACGACGACGACGACGACGAGTCGTCGTCGTCGTGACGACGACGACGACGAGGCCGATCCACGACGCCCACCTCATGAAAGATGGCCACATCAAGAAGCAGCAGCAATGGGAGCCGCGGGGGAGGAGGGAGGAGGAGGGAGTAGGAGGGACGAGGGAGGTGGAGGAGGAGGGAGGATAAGGAGGGGGGAGGAGGAAGGAGGCGGGGGGAGAAGGGTTGGGGGAGGGAGGAGGGAGGAGGGAGGAGGAGGAGACGAGTGCAAGCCCCCTCCCCAGAGGAGAGAGACAACAGGGACAGGTGCATCGAGGCCCCGCACTTCGCCGAGGCCTCCTCCTCCTCCTCCTCCTCCTCCTCCTCCTCCTCCTCCTCCTCCTCCTCCGCCGAGGCCGAGGCCTGGGCCGCCGCTGAGGAGCTCCGCCCGCCTCCGCCTCCGCCCGGTGCCCCCGCCTCCGCCAAGCCCCCGCCGCCTGCCCCTCCGCGGACCCCTCCACCAGGGATGGCGCCTCGCGGAGTGGACGCCCTGGCAGAGAGGCTCGCGAATATGGAGCTCGTGATTGTCGAGCTTCAGGCTCGCATCGAGGCTCTCGAGCTTCAGCTCAATGGCCAGCAGCTGCAGTAAAGCTGCTGCCGTGCCCTGCTTCGAGGCCCACAGGGCCCTTTCCGTCGGGCGTTGCTGGAGGTGCCCCTGCATGGCCCGAGGTGCCCCCTGCATCCCCGAGGAGGCCCCCGCGGCCTCCAGAGCACCCCTCACGAGGCCCAGATCCTCGAGGGCCCCTCAGGGCTCCAACATGGCTCGAAAAACTGGGGGGGGGGGCACCTTGAGCCAGGGACATCTTTAGCAACGCCCGACCTATTCCCTTGGCTGCGCGTAAACACGCGTTCAGTCCATAAGCGTTTCTTGCCTGATGCTCGTGAGCCCCAGCGAGACGGACGGCCCCAGCGATCGACCTTGGAGTCGAAAACCTTGTCCGCTCACGTCATGCGTGACGTCCCATCCCATCCCTTCCCATTGCGTGGACCCCCTCTCAAGATTGGCACAGTCGGATGCCGAGCAAGGCAATAAAGGGGCGGACTCGATGCATGGAATAGCATTTTGCGTGGCATTGCGTAGTGAAGCACTGCATTGCTTTGCACTGCGGATCCCCCAACTCCGTCGTCGTCGTCGTCCTCCTCCTCCTCGGTATTTTCGTCGTCGTCGTCGTCCTCCTCCTCCTCCTCCTCCTTCTCCACCATCCTCCTCCTCATCGCTGTGTCACCCTCCCTCGTCACTGCGGGGCCTGCCCCCCTTCCCACCCCGACCTCCTGCTCCTCCTCCTCCTCCCCCGCTTCGCCCTCACATCTCCTCGCAAGCAGCGGCGCGGGAACAGCGGCCTTTGCGAACTCGCTGAAGACTCCGGCGAGTCACGGCGAACTCCATGGTCGCCCATGCCCCCGGGTGCGGGGGAGAGGGGGAGGGAGGGAGTGCCACTGGAGTTGGAGGTGGAGGGAGGGAGGGGAGTGCCACTGGAGGGGGGAGAGCGGGGGAGAGGGGGGAGGGAGGGAGGGGAGGGAGGGGAGGGAGGGGCGATAGTGGAGGTGGAGGCGGAGGAGAGCACTACTGGCCTGAGCCTCGCAGCGAGGACGGGCGGAGGCAGATGCACTCGGCCGGGCGAGCCTCCTCATCAGTGTCGTGATCTTACTCCTCATTATCCTCGCGCTTCCTCCTCATGCCGTGGGCTTCCTCCTCCACCTACTCTCTATCCGCTCTCCACCTCCTCTCTATCCTCCTCCTCCTCCTCCTCCTCCTCATCATCATCCTCACCCTCTTCACCCTCCCCCTCACCTATCCTCCTCCTCTCTATCCTGCTTCTTCAACTCCGCTCGCAGTCGAGACGGGCTCGAGCGCTATGCCGTACGATTCGATCGCGGCGCTGCACAGGCGCGGAGTAGTGCCCCACCCTTTGGATCATTGGCAAGCTCATCGAGCAGAGCTCGATGCCATGTTGTATTGGAGCTTCTGGAAGCCCCCATCGGGCCCGAGAGAGAGGGGTCGAATGCGCCCCCGCCGCGCCGCCGATGCGTCGGCGATGCTTCGATGCTTCGGCGACGTCGGGATGGGGGGGGGGCGTCCCAGCAGCGGCGCCCCGCCGAGGGCGTTCCCGGAGTGCTGGAATCGTCCCGAACGGACGCTGGACGCTGGAGGCCAGACTCAGGGCACGAGAACCGAGAAGGATGATGATGATGGTGATTGAGATCGATCGCTGCCGCGATCCCAGACCCACTCACTCAGATTCACTCTCTCTCTGTCTCTCTCTCTGGGGTTTGCTGGTGGCATCTGTCATTAAGGCCGAGCTTTGGCCCCGCAGGATCTGGTGGGACCCGGGTAGGCCGCCGCTCGTCATCCCAGGCGAGACCCTAGCGTTGATATATTGCCAGATGTCCATCGAGCCCATGCGCAATACGCTCACATGGTTAACATCCGACGAGGATGACTAGCGCGAGGGGGAGGGAGAGGCGGGAGGGGGAGGAGGAGGGAGGGACGAGGAGATGAGGATGAGGGAGGAGGAGGGGGGGGGGAGGAGGAGAAGGGGAGGAGGAGGAGGAGGATGACCGCGCATGGCGACGGACCCCTAGAATCGGACCCCATGGGCGGCTTCTTTCAACAAGGCCCAGATTCGGCCATCTAGGATATGGTGGGTAGACACGGGCCCCCCCTCCTGGGCCCGGACGTTCTCCGCATTGATGTCTGTGTTCGTTGGGGACATGCAGTTCATGGTTCTTCTGAAGTTGCCCGATGAGGACCCGCCCGCCCCTCCCTCCCTTTCGACCCCAGGACCCCTTCGACCCCATGACCCTTTTACTCGCGTCTCTCCTCCCAGAGGAGGAGAATGGGGAGGAGGAGGAGGAGGAGGACCCTCGAGTCTCTCCTCCCAGGACTTGATTCAGCTGCTGAGGTGCGACAAGTACTGGGGGCGCTACTGCATTGAGGCCAGGGAGTGCATCGGGCGGTGCCCTCGGGCCCTCCTCCTCCTCCTCCTCCTCCCCCTCCTCCTCCTCCTCCTCCTCCTCCTCCTCCTCCCTCGGGCCCTCCTCCTCCTCCTCCTCCTCCTCCTCCTCCATCTCCCCGACGCGTCATCCCAGGTACGGGTACAAGTGGAAGCCCCCGAAGCATTGGTTTTGAGCGGTGGCGCGGGCTCTCCCGCTGGCGGCGCGCTGCACATCGTCGTCGTCGTCATCGTCGTCGTCGTCGCCGTCGTCGTCGTCATCGTCGTCGTCGTCGTCATCGTCGTCGTCGTCATCATCGTCGTCGTCGTCGTCATCGTCGTCGTCGTCATCGTCGTCGTCGTCGTCGTCGTCGGTCAGTGCCTCTCCAGGCATCGTCATCGTCGTCGTCGCCGTCGCCGTCGAGCGGCGCGCGGGCTAGAACGGCCGATACTCAGGCGGTGCCGCCTCGCGCCTGAACCTCACTCTCACCGTGAATGACACCTCCTCCGCACGTTCCTCGGGGGCCCATCCTCCCTCGCCCCCTCCCCCATCCCCTCCTCCTCCTCCTCCTCCTCCTCCTCCTCCCCCTCCTCCTCAACCAGTCCATATGTTTTTAGGAGCGCCCTCTGGTTTCGCCGCCCCGCAGTTGTATGGAGGCAGCTGTCCGCTGATGCTTAAAATCTTCCTCCTATATCCTCGGCATCGCTCGGACGTGTGCATTTTTCGTCGTCGTCGTCGTCATCGTAGTCGTCCGTCGTCGTCGGGGGGAGAAAAATACACGCACGAAAACGAAAAATGCACAGAGAACGGACGTCCGAGCGATGGCGAGATATCCCTCCTCCCGTTCACCCCCTCGCTCCCGAAACGCCGCGGGCAAGATCACGACCACATTGCCAGAGGGATGGGCGATGCGGACGTCGGCCGTGTCCCGCTCCTCAGCGAGCGGGTCGTGCACCAACGTTCGGGTCTCGACTTCCGCATCTGATTGGAGTTGGGGGAAGGAGGATGAGTGGGGGGCAGGAGGAGGAGGAGGAGGAGGAGGAGGAGGGAGGAGGAGGAGGAGGAGGAGGAGGAGGAGGAGGAGGAGGAGGAGTTCGAGGAGGAACCGAAAGGGATAAGGATAATTAATGCATTAGGACACCCATTAGGGAGAAGTGGAGGAGGAGGAGGAGGAGGTGGAGTAGGAGGAAGCCTGTAACCGTGACCTCGATGCCAGTGGCAGGATCCCAGTCGTCGTCGGCCGCCGCGGCGGCCGGCGTAGGGCCGCTGGCGGCCGCCGCCGCGACGGGAGCCGCCGCCGCGGGTTCCGTGGGAGGGCCGCTGGCGGCCGCCGCCGCCGGGGGAGGGCCGCTGGCGGCCGCGAGGAGGGCCGCTGGCGGCCGCACCCTGGGGGGCTCGGGCCCCCTGGCTTTGGGAGCCACCGCCGGCGGCCGCTGGGCACCTGGAGGGCCGCTGGCGGCCGCACCCTCGGGCCCCCTGGCTTTGGGAGCCACGACGCGGGGAGCCGCCGCCGCGGGAGCCGCCGCCGCGACGGGAGCCGCCGCAGCGACGGGGGCCGCCGCCGCGACGGGAGCCGCCGACGCGGGGCTGGGGGCCGCCGCCGCGACGGGAGCCGCCGCCGCCGACGACGCGGGGTCGGGGGCCGCCGCCGACGACGCGGCGTGCAAGCCCGGGCCGTCCATCCGACGGACATTCCCCCCCGGCGGCGCGGGGGGGCCCATCCGCGGAGGGGGGAAGGGCTCCATGATGAGAAGGCTTCGGAGGAGGACGAGGAGGATGAGGAGGCGGAGAATATTTGCAACTGCTTTACCCTCCTCCTCGGTATCGCCGTCGTCCTCCTCCTCCCATCTTCCTCCGAGGATCCCCCAACTCCGTCGTCGTCGTCGTCGTCGTCCTCGTCTTCCTCCTCCTCGGTATCGTCGTCGTCGTCGTCGTCCTCCTCCTCCTCCTTGGTATCGTCGTCGTCGTCGTCCTCGGCCTCCTCCTCTTCGTCTCCTCCTCCTTCTTCTCCTCCTCCTCCTCCTCTGCCCCCCCTGGCAGGTTTCTCGCTGACTCCCTCCCACGTTTCGTGGCCCCAGGGAGCTCCACCTAAGGTCGTCGGTCGTCGTCGTCCTCCTCTTCCTCCCTCCTCCTCCCTCCTCTTTCCTCTTCCTCACTCCTTCTCTTCCTCCTCCTCCGCGCGAGTGGGTCGAGGCGATCGATTGAGGCCGAGGGGGCGGGGACAATGGCGCTTCTTTCGGGCCCTCCTGAGGAGTTGGGGGAAGGAGGATGAGTGGGGGGCAGGAGGAGGAGGAGGAGGAGGAGGAGAGGGAGGAGGAGGAGGAGGAGGGAGGAGGAGGAGGAGGCCCCTGTAGCCATTTTGGCTCAAAGGTTCAAGCGTTTAGGTATAGCTTTAAAGCAGGTTTTAGGTTTTTTTCTAGGGCCGCGCGCGCGCGCCCCGCCAATCGGCGGGCGCGGCGCGCGCGGCCCGCCGCCCTCGGGGCACGGTGAGACTCTCACTTGCAGTACAACGCGAACGAGCGCATTCACATTCGACCGCCCCTGGGAAAAAAAGGAGGAGGAGGGAGGAGGAGGAGGAGGAGGAGGAGGAGGCCCCTGTAGCCATTTTGGCTTCTATGCGGCCAGAGACTTAAAAACAAAAAAGGCGGAGAAAAAAAAGGAGGAGGAGGAGGGAGGAGGAGGAGGAGGAGGACGAGGAGGAGGAGGAGGGTCTCGACTTCCGCATCTGATTGGAGTTGGGGGAAGGAGGACGAGTGGGGGGCAGGAGAAGGAGGAGGACGAGGAGGTGGAGGAGGAGGAGGGCGAGGAGGGCGAGGAGGAGGCCGACGACGACGAGGAGGAGGACGGCCTCTGCCCCGTTGCCCGCCCAGGTGGCGATGCGCGCGGTGCGCGCACCAGTTTATCTTACAACCGCGTACAACCGCGTACAACGAGGCACAAATGCGCGCGCGTGCTTATATTGGGGAGCGCAAAACATATTAAATATATCGCGGTGTGTGTAAAACATGTTAAACGCAGCGCGGTGGGATAGAAAATCTGTGGGCGGTGCGTTATGGGAAAAGGAAATTGTCGAGGGAAATTGAAAATGCTCAAGGAAAGCGCGTTTGGGGCTTGATGCAACGGTTATCTCCGGAGCATGCATGCCCGCGCATCACCGGGGCTCCGGTGATGCGTAAAACCCTCCGGTGATGCCCAGGGGGCACAAAACGCATCCCCGGGGTTCTCCAGGTATAGGGGCCCTCGCCGGGCCTCGGGGCCGTCAAAGAACGACTCGGGAGGGAGAAACCGGCCCTGGGGAATGGGACGAGACTTCTCTTCAGGAGGGGAAGAAACACACAGAC